GCCTGAGATAGCATTTCTGTTAGTGGGGCCAGCTCTGCTCTTCAATGTATAAAAAAAGTTGAAAGGCAAACCTTTCAGTCTGAGTTTTTTAGAGCTGTTCAAATCTGTGTTAAAGTCTCTCTTAGGTGCTCCTAAGTTGTATTTAGTAGCCAGAGAGAGCAAATGCTTGTCTTGCTCTTTTATATCTCTGTCAAACAAGATCAAACCATAGGTTTTGCATCCTATGAAGTTAGAAGAATCTTGCAGGATGTTTAAGGAGGTGTTTGAGGTGGGAGAGGTCATTGCAGCTCATTCCTTTTCAGCTAAACAAGAAGGATTTATTAGGAGAAACATGAAAATTTAACAGCATTCAGATAATGGAGGATTTCAAGTGTTTTGGGCACTGCTGTAGTAGGCTGATAACTAAGATTAGTAAAAGTGGGATACAAATAATCCTTAATCTAGTTTAGGGCTTGTAGCAGCTTGTGGCAAAGCCGCTGGTTTTGCTTACCTCAAAGAGCAATTTGAAAAAAGCTGCTTCATTTGACATATGCCATGGCTCCAAATTAAAGAAATGTGGTTCCCAGCTTGGGCAGGGTGAGATTAACTAATAAACTACAAATCTCCCCATCGTCACGAGACAGTACTTCGTATCCCTCCTGCTACAGGAGGGAGCTCTGTGGCAGCTGATGGGATAAGAAGGATTCATGCTTGGAGACTGTGCCCAAGACGAAGACTGAAGAATAGTTAGAAATGATGCTGTTCAACAACAAAACCAAAAACCCAGTAAAAAGAAAGTCTGGAGTATGTAAGACTTCTGGAGCCAATAATCTGTCTAATGAGCTGTGAAAGCCTGGCCCATTCTTGATTAAATCGAAGATGCCACTAAGCAGCTTTCTAGTTGTCCCAGCAGAACTGAATAACTATTGTTCTGCAGCAATACAGTGCTCAGCAAGAGAGAGAGGCTAACAATCTCCCCAGGGTTTCCCCTAGGGGGGCTGCTTTGATACTTGGGGAAGAGGATCTTCCACTGGTTAATGGGAACTAGTTAATCCATATAAAAAATGCTGTTAAAATGTTACCCCTAACATGCAACTGAATTCAAGGATACCGCATCCAAAGTGCTAGGCAAGTAGTTGTGATCGGTTGTCTGAGCTGCTAAAAAACCACCACATGCACACACACACACACACCAAAAAAAACAAACCAAAAAACAGTAAAAAAGCAATAGGTAGGTAAGAATTGAAAGCTTTTTGACCAGAATACATGAGAGACCATTGAAGATCCTTCAAAAGATCCACTGCCTGAACTTAAATGTGTATATCCAGCCTTTCTGGCAACAAAGTGAATGGTCCACAAATAGACTCAATGGACTGAAAAATAAACTGGATGATGGTGGAACTAATTGTGATGGTGGAAAGCATGTCTGCATTAGCTGATTGTATTGAACAGTCTGATAACAAAATTTTGAGCTAGAATAATACAGAATTGTTGGTAAAGCAAGATTACTTTAAGTTGGAATTTATTTTCAGCTCTTCTATATGACAGCACAACCTGGACTGACTCTGTGTTCTGTGTCACTAATCCTCTTGACTAATCAAAATCTTTCTCATTGATGTAATTCTGCTGCAATAAAAGGTCATGGAAAAGCCTTGACTATGAGGTGTAGACTGCCTGAACAGCATGGTCCATCTTCCTGATGCAAACCCAAATTAGCTCAGTCCCTTCTGATGCCATCCTGAGTCAGTGTTTTATGTTAACCTTGCTGTATCTGAAATCCTTCAGCAGCAAATCATCAAAGAAGCATGACCTTTCTGCAGTATTTGTATTTTGTGGTGCCACCAGGAAAGGTGCCTGCATGCTTACTGATGCTGCAGTGTGTAGAGCAAAAAGTGCAGTCTTTATGTAACTGTGCAGTTACATAAACAAGACAAACATTCCTTAATGCTCATGTGTCATGAAACTGGATGATGTCATGAATTTACATCATTGCATGGATGTTCTGACTGGTACCTACATATGCAGAATCTGATACTGTCCTTCGAGAATTTGGGGCAAAGAAGGTCCCTCTCAGATCCCAGACCTCAAACTGTCTGGTCAAAGGCAGATGCTGCAAGTCCTAGAGGAGCAGCTTGGGACTAGACCCTTTGGGGCGACTAAGTAGAAGGACACATTTAGTGCAAATTCATTAAGTTCTCTTTTAAAGCTGTGGAAAGCAGACTTTTTTAATCCTGAATCGTGTATTCTATTTCTCCCTTGAAATATAATAGCCAACCTCAGTGAACAGCAACTGGTCTGAGCCTGTTTTCATGTTTGCCAGGTAGCTGCTGAGTGGCCTCTGGGCAGCTCTACACTGGAGTAGCATGGATCTCTGCTGGTTTAGACTGGGCCGCACTGGACTTTCCTCCCCTGAGGAGGACCTAGCTATCCCAGTTAAGTCAGAAATGAAACAAGGATTCAAACCAGTATGTTGCAAAGGCTATGGAGAAGCAGAATATGCAGCAGCCTGGGAAGAGGCTAAAACCTCAGGTGTGAAGGGAAATGTAAGAGTAGGGTGGCTGGACACACTGGATAACAAGAAAGGAAGCGTGGCATGACTGAGCAAACCTCATTCATTAGCACCACAAGGGGAAGGGGTGCTGGCTCACTAGTCAAGATCAAGAGTTGCTCTTTCATTTCCTGATCTTTTCAAGAGTGGTGCTAAGGTCTGCAGACCATGAGATCTGTTGTGTTCTTGAAAATCCTGTATGAAGATGCAGATCTGGGGGAAGTTAGTCTTGATCCTAGATAAAGGTATTTGGTGCCGTGTCTTAAACTGGCTTGGCAGTGCCTTTCTCCATTGAAAAGCTGGAGAGATTGCTTTCTGACTGCTTCAAGGTAGAGCCTTTCCACTGGGAGGAGGATGCAGTCCCCTTTTGCAATATATTCCCCTTGCACACAAAACCAAACTTGAGTGCCAGAACAAAGGATTGTGCTTGCTAGTCCAAGAAAGGAGGGAGAAAAATGGTCCCCAGCCCCCTTGCATTGACTAAAATGGTGCAATTTCGGAAGCCTGACTTCAGAAAGGAACGTACTAGAAAGGATGGTCAAGGGAGTGGAATCTGGGAGGTCTGGCAGTTCTTTTCCGTATTCTTTATGCACCAACAGTTCATACTCTTTAATGTTTGAAGGGGAGATCAGCTTGTGTGAGTCACTGACCTTTGACGTGAGAAGGAAAATGTACAGGAAGTACCTGCCTTCTGTGGATGAGTGCAAAAGCACACTGCAAACAAGCAGGGACAAATCTGAAAATCCAAATTACCCCATGATATGCAGCTAAACTAAAGATTGAAGGGCAGTTTCTTCTTAGAAATTACAGTAGAAATATGCTTGCAGAAGCCTGAGGAGAAGTTGTTTGATTTGTTGGTGGTTTTTTGTGTTTTGTGTTTTGGTTTGGTTTTTTGTTGTTGTTGTGCGTTTGGTTTGGATTTTTTCCAGTAGAGAAGGAAAGTGCTAAAAACTTTAATGTCTATATGAGCGTTTTGTGGTGGTGTTTTGTTTTTTTTTCTTTTTGTTCTTTCTTGTTATTTAAAAAAAAATTAATAATTAATTACAATGATCACCAAGAAGAGGCAAGATCTTAGGCCCAGTCAGGTTGGTGTCATCTTGCATACTTATCTTCAGAGAGGAGGAATCTAATGGGCTAGTAAACCACCTTAGAAACCGGTTGTTCTGTGGAAATACAGAGAATGAATAAAGTATTAAGGATGGAAGAGAAAACTGAATAAACCTGATACCTTAAAAGAATGAAAAGGAGATTGGGCCAGTAAATGCAGCCCAGTGAGAGACAATGAGAGAGCTCAATTGCTTTGTCTGACAGATCGTACTAGTTCCTAGGATGAAAATGAATATCAATTTTTAAGTGACACTGTATTAATGCAAGCTACAGAAATACAGCGGTTGCAAAGCTGGCAAGAATGCATGTTCTTCTTTTTACATAATAAAAAGAGATTTCACATTCTCAGTAGAACCATGATCAACGTGGATGATGCAGTGCAGTATCTCAGGGCAGTGCGGGGAAGGTGTGACAAGGGCATTTTTAGGATGGAATAAAAGTAAAAATTCTGAAAAACGGGGAATGTGGTTGGACAGGGAAAGATTAAATTCAGGAGAAGTGACGTACAGGGCTTTGGTCTGAAATCTCAGAAGGGAGAATGACTGGTTGGATAATGGTAGCCCTGCAGAAATAAATCTGGGGGCTAGTTATGAGTTGAGTGTCAAGCATGTTGTACCAATAGTACATATAGCAGAGGCCAACAAGATGCATGAAGTAATCACTCTGCTTTATTTAGTGTTTGTCTTTGGATAGCCTGAATAGCTTTGAATGTTGTGTGTTATGACAAACTGGTGCGGTAGAACAGGAGTTTGGCCTCTTGTTTCAGCAACTGAACTTCTGTTCTGATTAGTGTACTCATTGAAGCATAAATGGAGAAAGCTGAGGGCTGTATTCTCCTACAGGGAAGGCTGCCTGCTATCTCAGGACTTTGAGTGCCCACACTTATAAAAAGAGGATCTCATTCTACTTCCACTGAGATGCTGTCATTTCAGAGATGTGAACAGTACTGGAAGGGTTCAAAAAGGCAGAGAAGCCAAACTACTTTGTCTCCTCTTCTTTTCTGTTCCTTAGAAGTAATGCAGTAACTGGTAAATAGCGAGACATGACAAGTCAGAACCTGGAACAGAATGGTTATGTTGTGCAAGAGCAGAGCATTGGCTGCTGCCAGGATGTGGCTCTGAACAGATTCCTTGCCTTTCTTCTTACCAAAACAAGTCCAGCTTGGAAGCAGCAAGACTGACCCTTCCAACACTGAATAGACTAACCACTAATAGACCTACTCTTTAGGGCAGATGGAATGAAGAAAGATAAGAAAATGCATTCTGAACAAAGAGAGTTTGGGTAGCCTTCAGGAGCCCTTAGAGGAGACTATGCAAGCAACACAGTAATCTCATCACTAACACACCTTCTTCCCTTCTCTTTAAAGCAAACTACAAATCTGAACCTTCCTCCTGAAGATTTTGATTCATCTGGTGATGACGATGATGCATTCTCAGGTTCAGGTGCAGGTAAGTTAATAGCACTTGTACTGTTAGTGCTTGAATATGGCAATTGAGATCTTGATGAGCATCCACACTAAAAGGGGGAGGGAGGAATCACACACACATGCGCACCTGCCTCAGAATATGAGAGCTGGGAACAGAGAAAGGGCCTAATCTATTCATCTTGTATTGTGTCAGATGCTAACAATTAGCAGAAAATGAGTTGTAGGAGACTTGAAAGGGAGCAGAAGCAGGTACGCTCCATGTGACTACTAATATGAGAAACTGAGTGAAGAATGTTATGGAACTGAAGTGATTGTTTATTCATGGGGGAGAGAAACTGTAAGAAGGGCCTTTGTGCCCTCATATGAGCTGGTAGGAGGTACCATTTGGGGGTGTGTAACCCCCAAACTGCCAACATACATCAGGTGCAAATTTTATCTGTCATCAGGTGTGCAAGTTCCCATGGGCCATACTTTTTTAAAAGCAGAATAAAAGGGTTTTAGGGTAGGGGAAAAAGTCTATTGGAATGCATGAGAGAGACCTTTGGTGTCCAGTGCTCAAGTTGAGGAGATGCTACTGAGGAATGAGCAAGCTGTTGAAAACTAAACCATGGCATCCTTCTGCTTCCTTCTAGCTACATGCTTGTGTTTTAGTTTGAATTCTGCCGGAATAAAACTCTGAAATTGGGTGTGCCAGTTACTAAAGGTGTTGAGTATATGAGTACTGCTCTGAAACAGATACTTACGGGGAAAAGAATCAGATAATCATCCTGAGCAACCAGTATGCTGAAATCAGACAGCCCCCTTGTCAACCTGTCTGCAAACAGACTAGCACTTGTGCCTTGTGGAGAAGCAGATGACTAATAAAGTACCAGTGTCTGTCCCTTCCTTATGCCATTGAAAAAGATTAGGAATTACGAACTGAACTGCTGTTGTTCCAAAAATTGTCTATGCAGGTTCAGCATCCTTGTTAGACCAGCATCCTGGAGATACTATTAACAGGTCTCTAAACTGGCCAAGGATAATACTGTTTTGTTTTGCAGGTCCTGTGACTGAACAGTCTCACACCTGGAGAATCCCAGGAGAATCAACTAATTCCTCATTACTGGCAACACCGATAGATTTTCATGAACAGCCATTTCCTGGGACTGAGAGCCGACCTGAGAAGGAAGTAAAGTCTCCTTCTGCAACTAGTACTGTCATGACAGAGGAGCCAGTTGTAGCTCTGAAGGACACAGTACCCATCCTGAGCTCACCTGATGAGAAACCAACAAATGATGCTGTTACAACAGTGAGAAGCCCCACTACTCACTTTCCTTCAGTGGTTCATGTAACTTCTCCAGAAGCCTCAGGCACAGACCATGGGTTCGAACCTAAAATCCCCAGCTCTGATATGCCAGACACTAAAGATGTGCCTGAGTCCCCCTCTACCATCCATCATGAGGGAGACATTGCCGCCACTCCCACAATAGCAGCTCCAAAGGATGTTGTTCCTACACATGAGGAGGTTTCTGAGGATGGCTCTGGAGATCCGGTGAGGATTAATAGCTCTGATAGCCTTTCCAGGGGATGGTTTGAATACTATGTAGTAAGTTGGTTTTGCAGGAAAGGGTGGTAATTTGTCAAAAGTGATGATTGATTTAATATGTTATATTGGTGGAGGGGGTTAGATGAGAAGAAAACCAAGCTATGGAAAATCTCCAGTAGCAGACATGATGAGAAACGTGATTAACCTGTCTTGTATGTCCCAACAGGGAGACTTCATCTTAACTAAAGATGAGGATTTGGTCCCCACCCAGAACTCAGAAGTACTGGCTGACTCTGGGAGGAATGCCAAAGCTGCAGGAGCCTCGGGAATTATGGACAGAAAAGAAGTTCTTGGAGGTACCTGATATTCTGGATTTCTAGTTGGCAAAAGCAGACTCTTGTAGGAGTCTTCCAGGCAGCAGAAGCTGCAGTCCTGCAAGTACATCTCTGAGCATGAAAGCTAGCCCTGTTAGACCTCTGAAATTAGGGTGGTTATTCATGATTCTGTGTTGTCAAAACCCTAACAGGGACAAATACTAATCAGCTAATAGCAAAGCTGACACTACTAGTTATCAGTTAAGTTTTGTTTAAACCTATTATTTCTCTCAAAAACTACAGTAAAACTGCTCTAATGCTGCCTCAGTCAAATTACTAGAGCTGAACAACACAGCCTAGTGTGCTTTGCAGCACAGCTCAGTGGGAAATGTGTTTCTCTAGGTTTACCTTGTGTAGGTGAGCAAGCTCATCTACTAATGGAAGGATGATGATTTGAGTGGGGGAAAAGGACAAATTAATTTCTGGAAGTCATGAAATCAGAAAGGAACAGTCTGAAACTTACAGTCACACTAGCATTATCTGGAGTCTTAATCTGTGGCTTTCTCCCCCTTCTAGGTGTTATCGCTGGAGGACTAGTAGGCCTGGTGTTTGCAGTGTTTCTAGTTGCATTTATGCTGTACAGAATGAAGAAAAAAGATGAAGGCAGCTATTCACTGGATGAGCCAAAGCAGTCTAACGGAGGATACCAAAAACCACACAAACAAGAAGAATTCTATGCATAAACACTGCTCTTCAGGACACTTATTTCATTTTTCTTGGACTCTTCTCTCCCTGCACATGGACCTCCTAGTCTGCTTTGCATTAAACTTAAGCCATATGATCATTGGGTTGTTTGCCCTTACCACTTTGCCATTGAGATTTGGTAACTACAAAGTAGATCTGGATTCATTGAACATTCCCTGCTTTCGTGCACAACCTTTTTTTTTTTTTTTTTTTTTTAACAGAAGTGGGACTGCAAGTTCCTAAATTCACTTTGGTTTATCTAAAGACTGCTGGGGCAGGCGGTGGGGGAGAAGATAAGGGAGCACTGTGTGCATAAAACTCTTGATATTTAGGGGAAGGGCTAGCAAGAATAAACAGTTACCAGTGCTCAAATTCTGTATAGCAGGGATCCTCCTATTTAACTCATAGATGTGTTTTAAGCATAATGAATGGCTGCGCTGGGCAGACATTTGGTACACTGCAACCCTCTAGCTCTTTCTAACTGCTGTATTTGGAGCACTTAATGCCTATGAAACATCAAGCTGAACATGATTCCTAGTGAGAGGAGGTATTATGAGTAGGGTAAGCAAATGACTGTCATGTAGTTTAGAATAACTTCTGTTTTGGAAGCATTATGCCATACCCAGAACCAGCTCCTAAGAAGTTGGTGCAAAACACAAACAGAAAACAAACCCCAAAGACCCCCAGATTAAGTGGTGAGTTCATTTTGCCAGCAGTGTTGGACTGTCCTACTACCTTCTTGCTCTTTCTAGGCATAGGTAAGAAATAGGTTATTCTAAGGAGTCTCATCTCAGACATTCCCTCTTCTTAGGTGCCAAATAGGCTGGGCTGTCATACTGCAGATGCTCTTATCCTGCCCTGTTGTGTAGTCACAAGGTGACTGTGATGTGTTGTAGCACCTACATCTCTGTGCACTGTTTACAAACGGTTGTCTTGGAACATGGTCTGCCATCTATGCCACAGAATACCTTGGCACACAGTAGTAGAAGGTAGCAGCATATCATGACTCTGCAGTTAAGGAGTAGAGAAGCGTAGCATCTGAAACAAGCCTGATGAAGGCTAAGTGTAGATGGCCTTAAATATACACAACAGTTGATGTGCTTGACTCTCGTGACTCCCGAATGGCTCTTCAGTAGCTGTTCCTGCACTTTGGAGAGAAGCAACTCCAGGAATGTCAGACTAGCAAGGGCAGAAAAACACCTTCTGAGGAAAGTCTGGATGCCTGAAGCTGTTGGTGGTCAGTGTGCTGTCAGATGTGAGGCACTGAGGCCTCACCGAGGGTCTGGAGTTCTCCACAGTATCTCAAACCGAGTGAGAAGAAAAGTGTGGTGGTCTACACAAGCCTTACTTCTGCTCTGCCTTTGGTTAGCTTCTTGCAAGTTCAGTTCCTCATCACTTAGAAGGTATGGGGTGGGAGAAGGAGTGTTTACAACTGATATAAATACTTGTACTGTTGAGCCAGAGGGAATGATTGGAGACTATTGCAGCAGCCGATATAAATGTTGCACATCGATAGTAAAACTTAAAAACCTGTGTAATTTAAATGAAGTATAAAACACTCCTGAGCTGCTATGCAGCCAAAATTGGTGCCTTCTGTGCAAACCCAAGCGAAAAAAACCCAAACAGTTCTTGATTCCAGACTTCTTTATGCGCAAAGAAAACTTGTGCATACGTGTATCTGGCTGGTTTTAAGTAAAGCTGCAAAGTCCATTATGTCTATCTGGTTTTTGTTTGTTTGTTTTTTTTTTTTAACAGAATGAATTTTTATAGGTTAATGCAATGACCAGACGGTGTTAATTTCAGCTGTAATTCTTTGCTTTGTATAGGAATGTAGAAACATTGTTTGATAGGTTTATCTACAAAAAGGTTCTTGTAAAGCGCAGGAAGATAAAGTGGTAAACTTTAGTTGTACCTCACAACCTGGCTAGGGGGAAAGGAAAAAACTGTATATTTTGGTAGTCTAAAGTGACAGTTTGTGAAACAAACATGACATTGTGTTATTTAAGTGGTACAAATGAAATACGAGTTCTAACAGAAGATGCAACACTTGGTTATCTGTATGCCATTTAAATGTATACTGCAATAAATGGCATTTTGGCAAGAATGTGTCTGATCTGTGAACATTACTCTGTATAATACCTCACAAAGTAGATGTGTTTTTTAAGACTGTCCAGGTGGTCTTCAAGGAAGTTGGATTCCAAGTATGAAATGTGAGTCCTGGTGCTAAACATAGGGAGGTTCAGCTAAGAATTCGAAGGGTGTGAGTGTGGCCTGTTCCCTCTTACCCTGCCCCAGATGTCTGGGTTGGGGTGGGCTGCTATACCCTGAGGCAGTGGAGCAGAGTATGAATGGGCTGTAGTGGAGACTTCAATGAAACCTCTTTATTAGAGCCCTGCAACATTTTGGGCTGGTTCCTTATCCTGGGATGCATCGGGAGGAGTGTGGCCAGCAGATTGAGGGAAGTGAGCCTCCACTTGACCCTGGAGAGGCCACATCTGGAGTACTGTGTCCAGTTCTGGGCTCCTCAGTACGAGAACTACAAGGAGCTGCTGGAGAGGGTCCATTTGAGGCCACAAGATGATCAGGGGTCTGGAGCATCTCCTATGAGAAGATACTGTCTAAACTTGGGCCTGTTTAGTCTAAAGGGAAGACTGAGAGGGGGTTCTCATTAATGCATAAAATAACTCAAAAGGTGAATGCCAGGAGGATGGTGCCAGACTCTTTTCAGTAGTGTAGTGCCCAGTGACAGAACAAGGAGCAATGGTGATAAACTAAAACGCAAGAAGTTTCACATCAACATGAAGAACTCTTTACGTTGAGGGTGGCAGAGCACTGGAACAGGCTGCGCAGGGATGTTGTGGAGTCTCCCTCTCTGGAGACATACAAAACCAATCTGGACATGTTCCTTTGTAACCTGCTCTAGGTTGCCCTGCCTTGGCAGGGGGGTTGGACTAGACATCCAGAGGTCCTTTCCACCCCTAATGATCCTGTGATTTTGGGAGCTATTTGTGCTTGTACAGTATGTCGCCATCCTCAGAAAGGTGAAAAAAGTTCTAAATCTTTCACAGGGCTCCCTCTAGCCACCTGTGTTCTCCCTCCAGGAGTTTGAGCAGCAAGGGCTGCATGAGGGGCAGCTCCAAGTCTTTGTATTAAAATGTTCTTACCAAGACAAGCTTGGAGATTATACCTCCAAGGAGGAAGAACAGAGCAGGCCTGTCCTAAGTATTCTGCTGTGCAACATCAATTACTATGCAGTGCTGCAGCTTGTGTGGCAGGGGATGGGGCAAAACAGAAGTAGAGAAAAATCCTTCACAGAAGAGGGAAGTCAGAAGTTGCTGCCCGAGTGGGCCTTATTGCAGTTTATACAAATTTTTTCTATTACAAGGCTTTGAGCTGTGCGAAACTTACTTTTCTGAGCTGTAAACTAGCCACTGTATTTTCAGTTTATAATCTCTTGCTTGCACTGGAGCCATGTGGGCTGTGTGTTTTCCCATCAGAAAATGTTTGGGGAGGAATTTTGGTAATCAGAAGGTTTTGAGATCAGGCAAACAGATCGAAGGATTGAGATTAGAAGACTTTGCTTCCTTAGCTAAGTGAAGCTGGAAAGTTTTGAACTGCATGCCAACTTTGCCAGTCCCTTAAACTGGATAAAACACTTGTGACACAAGATCAGAGTTGACTGTTTTGCATAGCAGTATTTTACCTGCTATGAGTTCTCTTCCTTGGGAATTCCCTAGACTTTTGTCTCCGCTCTTCTAGTCAGTGATAATGTGGCAAGTGTCAGGGAGGGAAAAAATGAAGTGATGGGGAAGTGGGACATTTCTATGTGAAAACCCTTACAAGTGAAAACAGTGTCTGATCCCAGGTGTGCGCTTAAGAGAAACTTTTGGAGTACTAACAAAATGATCTGTAGAAGGGGTAGCCTGCTTCTGTATTCTGGCACAGGTTAGGCTGGGTTTTCCCGAGTCATTTTTCTGTTCACTGTGCTTCCTGACGTCTTCATCCATGCTAGAGCAATTATCACATTTGCTCTTGTTCACAAGTGAGATGCAAAGAATGTGGTTGGCAGAAAATCTGACCCGTTTGTTCTGGAAAAATGAGCTGGAGGGTGTAAATGGACCAAATGTCAAGGAAGGCAAACTATGAGAACTTTTCACAATTCTCATTTTGTTAGGTTGCATTAGAGCCTATAAAAGAAGCTGAAGCAAATCTAAAAGGCTGTATAATCTTGTAATTGCAATAGAGAACAGGAAAAAAAAGGGCCACTCTATGGGTGTACTGAGAAGAAAAGCTATTTCAGACATTGCATAAATGCCTTCTCTGAGTATTTATCAGGACTAGTATGTATAGTGATGAAAATGAGTAGTGGGATAAAGGTGCAGGGTAAAATTTGCTCCATTTGCGGTAGCAGCAAAAATCAAAGAAACTTCAGCTATGCAGGAAATGAGATAGAAATTCAAATGCAAGCTTGGCATTCTGGGGTGGTGTTTAGCTCACAAAACTGGAAGCCTGATGGACAGTATTTTTAATAAGCTTGTCAAATTAGAGGGCAGAGATTTTACTGCTTAAGTGCAGTGTCTGCACTAAGAAAAGAGGGGAGAAAAGATGGCCCCTGCAGTATGCAGGATCTTACAAAAGGATCTGATGGATAGAAAAAAGAATGCTGATACATGGGATAAAATATAAAATGGATTTACCCAGCATAGATTGTGCCAGACTAAACAGATCTCCTGCTTTTTGATAGCCGGTTTTTCAGTCAAAGGCAATCTAATCTAACTGAACTTCAGTAAAGAAATTTATCAGTGCACACAGGAAATGAATAATCAAAAGGAAGAATCTGGGGATTAGTGGAAAAATTGTAAAGTGGTGAGGAATGGACTAGGGAGGAGCCTGCAGCAGGCTGTGCAAGACAGGGAGTTAGTAGGAAGAAAAGGCCTCATTCTGGGGACATCTTTCTAAGTATTGTCTGAAATGGAAGGGAGTACAAGGAATTACAACTGCTGCTGGGAATCTGGGCAGCCTCAGCAATGGAATATCAAGAGTAGAATATTTTAATGTTCTGATAAGTAACAGGATCGACTTCAACAGGACAAGTTCAGGCATTGGCAGGGGTAACAAGAGGGATTGCTGCTCTGACCTAGGAATAATAGAAGGGAAGAAAGGATTAGGTTAATTCATCAATTTTAGAATAATTATCTGTGTGATGCAGCTGTAAGAAAGGATAAAAAAAAACAAAATAGGATGTAGCAGCCAAGGCATTTCTAGCAAACAGAATTCTCATCATCGTGGGTATTGTTATACAAGAAACTAGTGAGCCCTTCACTTATTCTCACCTACATGCTTTAGGATTAATTCATGTTGAGAAGGAAGAGAGGAAAAACTTTAAAATTATGTGGGAGTGGAGAGTCTCTTCTCACAGTACACTAAGGGTGTTTTGTTTGTTCAGCTTGGGGAAACACAGGTCCTACAGTTGCTCTCTGCATGCTTGTCATGGTACAGGACAATATAAAAGACGGAGATGAGCAATTTAAGCTAAAGAATAATATGGAAGCAAGAAAAAGAAAAAATAAGAAGAAACTGGCAACTATAAACACTGATATTAACTAACAACCTTGAGAACCCTTTTGTTTACTATGAGGCCCTGGCACTGGTTGCCCAGAGAAGCTGTGGCTGCCTCATCCCTGGCAGTGTTCAAGGCAAGATTGGACGGAGCTTGGAGCAACCTGGTGGAAGTGTGTCCCTGCCCATAGCAGGGGGTTGGAACTGGATGATCTTCAGGGGCCCTTCCAACCCAACCCATTCTATGATTATGCATTCTTAAGATGCACCACCAAGCCAGGGGTCCCCAAACTGTGGTACATGTACCACTGTGGTTTGCAATGTATTTCCAAATAGTATGCAGGAAAAAAAAACAAAACCACCCCAACCAAAACACCAAATCCAAAAATCCACTACCAAAACCTGTCACACCTGCCTTATCTCTGGAATTGACAGGCAGGAGCCAGCCTGATCCTGTACACACAGCTAGAAGCTGCTGCAGATGATTAAGATAGGGAGAAATGCTGAGAAAAGGACTGGGATAGCATGGAAGAAACTTCTGATGCCATCAGTGCACTTCTCCCTCTAAACAAAGTCTGGAAACTTGTGGTTTAGGTGACTGGCTGTTTTCTTAGTGTGATAAAGCAAGCAGAAACTCTGCTGTAGCTGAGAAATGCAGCTTCTGAACAAGGTATCTTTTCCGCAAGGCAGTGGCTCCTGACTCCCATCAGATTTGGAATTGGTAAGAGCAAGAGGCTGCTCCTCTGGGACAAGTCTTATGAGGAACAGCTGAGGGAACTGAGGTTCTTTAGTTTGGAGAAGACCTGGGGGGACCTTATTGCTCTCTACAGCTACCTGAAAGGAGGTTGTAGTGGGGTGGGGAGGTCGGTCACTTCTCCCAGGTAACAAGCAATAAGACAAGAGGTAATGGCCTCAAGCTGTGCCAGGGGAGGTTTAGGATGGATATCAGGAAAAACTTCTTTACAGAGATGGTGATCAGGCATTGGAACAGGCTGCCTAGGGAAGTGGTAGAATCACCATCCCTGGAAGTGCTCCAAAACCGTGTAGATGAGGCCCCCAGTGACATGGCTTAGTGGTGGACTTGATGTCATAAAGGTCTTTTCCAACCTAGTTGATTCTATGATTCTATGCTCCAGGCTGCTGTGGCTCCCTGAGCCTGAGCACATGCTGTTCAGAAACCTGCTGCTGCCGTGCCTAGGCAGTGTGCCAGATACCACTTCCTGCTGCATCACACCAGCCAATGTGTGGCCTATAGGAATCACACAGGGTTTTTTGTTGTTCTAACAGACAGACCTAGACTTCCTCATCAAGACCTTAGCTGAGGAAAGCTTAAAAGTGTTAAAACTTAGGATAGTCTCTGTGCAGCCCAAAATCAAACCACCTGGAATTAAGACTGAAATAATTCCAAAAAGCCATAGAACATCATTGTCTTAAAAAAAACTAAATCAAAACAAAGCAATAACAACAAAAACCAAACAACCCCCAAATATATAAAACCAACACAGATTAGAAGCCTCAAAGCTGAGATTTGCATAAACAGTTTGC